TTCTTCTTCTTCTTCTTCTTCTTCTTCTTCTTCTTCTTCTTCTTCTTCTTCCTCAAGCCAGTATCTTGGCCCCATTCTTGATTTTCTCTGCCTTACCTGCCCAGCTCCACCTGCAGGGGGCACTGGAATCTGACTGCTCCTGTCTAACTATTCTGCCTGCATCTGAGCCTCTACCATCAGCGTTTCTCACTTGAACTTTCAAAACAGCCTTTATCTTGGTCTCTCTGCCTCTACTCTTGTTGCCATGGAGTCCTTTCTTTAAATGTGATTGGAACACCTTTATGGAACATTAATAGACAAATCACTTCCTGCTTCAATAGCATCCAATAGCCTTGATTAGAGAGAACTGAATTAAACCAAGCCTCTTACCTTAACCTCTCAGCCTCGTGGTCTGGGATATAACCACTTCTAAACCTCTCTCTCTGTCTCTCTCTGTCTGTCTTTCTGTCTCTGTCTCTGTCTCTGTCTCTGTCTCTGTCTCTCTGTCTTTCTGTCTCTCCTTTCCTCCTTTCTTATTTATTTTCTCTTTCTTCTCTATCAGCTCCACTCCCTCTATTCATCTTTCTAGGTGCAACCAAACTTGCTCCAACCTCAAATTCCTTTCCTTAATGATTTCTGAAGCTTCACATAACCCCCTGGATTTTAATGTGGTCCTCATCCCTGAAGTGTCAACGCAAATGTCCTCTTTTGATCCCCAACAAAGCAGCTGAGCACTCTATCATGTCATTCCTACTCTTCATATACACCAGTGCCTAGAATTGTCTTCACTTTTAAAATATTGTAACTCTTGAAGAACACCTGATGATGTTGGCCACCGCTCTGTCTTAACTCCTATAAAAACAGTTAAAATGTTTACTTCCTACCATTGACTACTGGAAAGGAGGGGCTATTATTCTGAGCTGTACGAACTTATATAGAGACAAAGAATATCTTTGTTTCCCTAAGTTCTGTCTGAGATCGAACAATTCCTCCCATTATGAAGGCAGGCCGTAAGGGGAGTGCTGATCACCCTGGGTCCTGTGCCATTTCTGTGTTCTCCATTACAGGGATGTTATTCCTGGCTGTCTCTATCTCTTCAATTCATATTTTTTCTTTCTTTCAACATTTTTCTATAAATAACACAGGAAACAGAAAACTGCATAAAACAAATATTTGGCCCAATGATCTATTATTAGGTAAACATGCTTAATCACTGTATTGGGACATACAAAATGGAATGTTGCTGGAATTCTATAACTTATTAGACAAGAGGAAAGAAATCAGAGGGTGGGGATAAGAAAAACTAAAGTGTGTACGAAAATATCATTTTGAAATCCAATATTTTGTGAAATTAACATGCTCTAATGAAAAATACATTTTAAGAAATTTGATGTTTTTAAAGTTCTTTTACTCTTGAGAATCCTCCTCCATTTTTTATAACTTATTTGTTAAAAATTTGAGTTCTTTGACCTATAAAATCTCCCACAGTTTAGGATTTTGATGAGGTTCTTGCAATGTAATTTAAGGTGTTTTCTGTTCTCAGTACTTAATTAATACAAATGTTTCTAGAGGTTGATCAGATTCAGCTTGTATTCTTAGCAAGGCGTTGGTGTGGGTGGCTCCTCAGGAGGTCCACAGTGTCTTCACTCCTTTCTTTTTTTGATCTTAACAGCCACAGCCATTCAACACCTAGAATATTCCTTTAAATCTGAGGCAACTCCACATCTATCAGTGCTTTTTCTTGTATTAGCTGAAGTCAACTGACAAAGAGACATTTCCCTTACTGTTTATTGATCCCCAATAGAGTCTACAGATGAAACACACAGTATCAGATTCTCCTTGGGCACACTTTCATGGGCACTTTGTCTGCATTATTAATTTGAAAACCATTTTCAGGGTTACTTGAAAGTATGTCTTGCCTTGCCCACGAGCAAAATTTTAGCCCTTGTGTCATTTCACCCCTTCATAGCACTTGCTAAAGGTCGTCACTCTTGTACTTTCTGCTTTCTTCAGACACATTTTCCAACTGCTATCCCCCTTGAATGAAGGTTTTCTCTAATCTCCCTTGCAAACTCCTCCTTCTCTTTCTCTCCTGTTCAGTTTAGAGAAGCCCAGCCTCCCAAATTCATGTCTCTAGCCCTGACATTGCCTCTGAGTTCCTGAGCAGCACATCCCCTCATTCCCTTCATTTCTGTGCTGTTGTCTAATAATTTAGGATTTAATATGGTTGATCCTCTTTTCTGCCCTAAACTTGCACATGTTTTCCATGTCGTATTTCATCTTTAGCCTCTTTCCTGCATTCACAGTTTCAAAAACTGCCTTTAACTTGACCCCTTCTCACCTTCAAAGTCGGGTGTCTTGGCTTTCTTTAGCCCAATCCTGAATTTCGGCTTTCGCAAATATAAGGTAGAAAATTAGAGCTGATATGTTAATGGCCGACATCAAGAAGTAGATTTTATGCCAAGAAGTTTCTGACTTCTGAAAGATTAAAATGCCATAGAGTTATAAATTACTGATATTGTTTCTGTGTTTTGTAACATTTGAAACATAGAATCAAAAAATAGTATAAAATCAAGGTAAATCACTCAAACATGGACAAAGACTTATAAGGAACCGGGTAAGTCATTATTACACACTACAAAAGCAACTATTTTGTCTTACTACAATATATTCCATTTTCATCATACATTAAGTTTAATACATCAGTTGCTTATAGTGCCTAATTAACTGATTCATCTATTTCTATTCTGACATATTACTTCAAAAGTTTGAGAATTTTAAAGTATGTTATGTAAACAATACAGTGTTGAGGGCCAGGGAGGTAGCTCAGTAGAATAAGTGATCCTTGGCAAGCGCAAGGGCCTGAGTTCAATCCCCGGTTCTGCCAAA